AGGCCTTGCTTAGGGTCATTGTCGCTGTTGAATTCATCATGTGGAGTCGAATCACGTCGCTGGCGACCATCAACGCGATTTCGAACTCCTCTCGTGTTCAGACGCTCTACTGTTGATGCAAGTCGCTCTACGATAGTCTTCATCTGATTAACGCCGGTCTTCAGCACATCGAACTCAGTTTGAGAAATAGGGGGCTTCATCACCTGCCATCGGATCGGAGGAACAAGGCTCTGATACCAATTGACGCAGCGCGAAAGCGATAATCTCGGAATCTACCAAGGGTGATCTCTGAATCCACAAAGAACAATCTCCGAATCCACGAAGAACTTCGAATCCACAAAGAAGAAAGAGTAATTTTATTGATAAAAAGATATTATTCTTTGGGGTTACATGACTATTCTTAAATAGAAAAAATAAATAAGACTCCTAGTAAGACTAGAATTATAAAAAAATAGAAAGTATCAAATTTTATCCTAAAAAAACTCCCTATAATAGAGGAAACAAATCATGAATCAAAATTAAATTTGTTTCCTAATCTATTAGACTCTAATATTAAATTTATTTCCTAATCTAAATAGACTCCAACTTTATTACTAAAAATAAACTATAAGCTGATTATTTTTAGATTTCAGCCAAAACTAGGTGTAACTGATGAGATTTTAAAAATCTGATAATCTAGTTGTCTCCATCTCGTTGAGATAGACGATTTACATATATAATATGTTAGAATCCGCCTTTTGGGTTGGAAGATATGATCATTTCTTTGCGGAAGTCAATAATACGTATAAATCTGTATTTAGCTCATGATTGTCTGCATCCCCCATGAAATTATCAGTTAAGCATCCTACATCAATTCTCTTCTTCTTCCAATCATCAATCTCCCTTACTCTTTCTTACCCCCTCTACCTCATTTTCCTTTGTCTTACTCCATGTTCCTCTATCCCACTCTCTCTTCCTCCTTGTTCTGTCCGCTCTCAATTTTCAATCCTAAATCTTATTGATTTTTCTTTAACACCTCTCTTTTTCCTGCCCCCTCCCCCTCCTTTCTTACATTCTCTCCTAATACTTCAAGTAAAATATTTGTTGTTTGGATCGAGAGAGAAAAATGAAAAGGAGGTTGGATTTTTAGTAGAATATTTATTGTTGGAAATTGAGAATGGGCGGATCAACGAGGAAGAGGGAACAGGAGGGAGGAACAATGAGTAAGAGAGTGAAAGAGGAGAGGGGGGGGGGGGGGGGGGGGGGGGGGGGGGGGGGGGGGGGGGGGGTTAAAAATAAATTTTAAACTCAAAAAAAGCT